TTACTTGAGTAAATACTTAGGAGTGGAATGGCTGGGGATTATGGAAGGTGTTAAACATTTTAGGAAACTGCTCAATACTTTAGCAAGGTAGAATTATTATTTTGCATTTCCACTCGCAGTGTTAGAGAATTCTCCTTTCTCATCTCCCCACCACCACTTGACATTGGCAGTCTATAACTGTAGCCATTCAGATTCATGAGGAGTGGCATCTCACTGTGTTTTTAATTTACGTTTCCCTGGTGACTAATAATGATGTTGAGTATCTTTTCATGCAGGTAATGTTAATTCTTCTTTCTCTGTGAAATGTCTGTTCAGATCTTCTGCTGATATTTTATTGCATTAGTTTGCTTCCATATCAAAGTGCCACAGACTGGTGGCTTCAGCAACAACAACATTTTTTTTTTCCCCTCACAGTTCTAGGGGCTAGAAGTCCAAGATCAAGTTGTTGGTAAGGTTGTTTCTCCTCAGGCCTCTCTTCCTGGCTTGTAGAGGAGCATCCTTTTCCAGTGTCTTTGCTTGGTTGGTCCTCTGTGTTTTTATCTGCTCTTCTTACAAAGAGTTTAGGAATTCAACATAGGAATTTGGGGAGGGGGACACAGTTCATCTCATAAGGGTCCTCTCTTTGACCCTCCCCCTGAATTCTTGTTCTTTTTGTAGGCAAAATAAATTCTCCAAAAGTGTGATGGCTGTGGATTACTTGCATATAAAGCTGACTGCTGTCAGAGAAAAGGAGACTGACAAAGTTTTTGATATAATTCTGCTGCCAATTGAAACACAACAAAAAACAGGCAAAAATAACCCCAAACAACAACAACAACAACAACAACAACAAACTTGCCTGTGTTAAAAGGGATTCTGACTATCTGAACTTAAAATAATCCCTGAGATCGCCAAGTTCTTTGGGGGCAGACAGTAGACTGATAAAAACAGCTTAGGCTCCTTGCCCCCTCACCAACTTCAGAACATATTGCCCAACACCTACTTCAGATGTGGCCCAAAAGAATAACGGAAAGGGAATGATCGGCAGGGGTCCGAGCTAAGGACAATGGAGAACAAAGTACAAGGGATCTACTTCTCAGGTGTGGAGTCAGGTTATAGTTTAGGCACATTCCCCACTCGTAAGCAGGGACCTTCAGGACTTCTGCCCAGTAGGATTTCAGATTTGCTATGGGACACTGTCTGCCTTGTGTCTCCTGTAATTTCCCTTTCTAAATGGGATTGTGTATTGTGGTTTGTCTATCCTATTGTATATTGGGTGTGTGGAGGATAGATAATTTGTCTTTATAGTACAGAGGTCTGTGGATCAAGAGAAGCCACATCTGGACCTAATAAAGACACCATGTTTCACCTCTGATGAAGAGATCGCTGTGCATTACCCAGTGTTATGGGCTGACCTGTGTCCTTTTAAAAGTCGTATGTTGAGATCCTAACCCCCAGTACCTCAGAATGTGACTGTATTTGGAGATGAGTTCTTTAAAGGGGTAATTAAGGCAAAATGCGATCGTATAGATAGGCCCTAATCCAGGATGACTGGCATCCTTATAAGAAGAGATTAGGACACAGACTGGCAAAAGGGGAGCCCATGTGATGACACAAGGAGAAGACCGCCATCAACAAGCCAAAGAGAGAGGCCTTGGGAGAAACTCACCCTACCATCACCTTGATCTGGACTTGTAGCCTCCAGAGCTGTGCAAAAAATACATTTCTATGGTTCACACCATGTAGTCTCTGTTGTTTGTTATGGTCGCCCTAGCTAACTAGGCACGTCCAGATGCACTGAACTTTGCTTGCTGCAGTGTTTAGACAGACTTTTGGGGTGACCCTTTGAAAATGTGTGTGTGTGTGTGTGTGTGTGTATGTGTGTGTGTGTGTGTGTGTGTACACAAAGAAGAGGAAAATAAAATTTTGAGCAGGCATGTTAGTCATTAGGGCTATTTATTGATATTTCTGGTGCTTCTCTGTATTCATCATCTTTTTCTACGTTATACTGGTAACAAAATGGCCCCACGCTGTCAGTGGTTTACAGCCACCATTTATTTCTCGGGTACGTTACCTGTGGGCTATAGGTAGAACGTGGCTCCACTCCAGGCATCGTCCTCATTCCAGAACTCATGCTGCAGGAACAGCTCCTATTTGGGACGCGTCATTCTTGTGACAACGAGAAAACAGCAACAACAAAAACACGCGGGTGGCTGTAAATCTTGTGCTCCAATGGGACACGTAGGACTTCCGCCTCTGTTTCATTGGCTAAGCCTCGTATCAAGGACGGAGGGGAAGAACACTTGACCTGCGGTCAGATGACAGTGGGTGGGGACGTGTAATCCTTTTACAGGAGGGGGGCATGTAATTGGTACCAGCAGTACAATCCAAGCACACAGCTTAATCGCACATCAAACCCTTTGAAGTTTACTGCTTACGCAAATTAGATGTGAGTGAATGCTGTGGGTGTCGCTTCCAGGAAGAAACCTTTAAAGACCATTGCATGACTCAGCACTTCCCTTTCTCCCCGTTGTGGGGGGAAAGTCGGGGGATGCTCAGTTTACTTGGGCCCGTGATGGAAAGGGTGGAGCAGAGAGCTCTGGGCCAGCTCCTGATAGCCATGCAGTGTGAGTAAGAAATTCGTCTTTGTTTCCCTCAGCTACTGAGCTTTTAGCGTTGTTGTCACAGCACAAAATAACTCATTCATTCTGACAAAGGTACTGAAGGAAGTTTGGAAGAGGCGGCCTTTAAAATGCGCGGTGTGCATAGTAGGTGCTTCGCAATAGACGACAATGTATCTCTCATGTTCATGTTCGTTTTGTAACTACAGCTGCTCTCTGGAGGTTGTGCTCATCACTTCCTTCTTGGTGCTACCTTTAAGGTAGATGATACCTGAGGAGGCTGTTTGCTTCTACGGCTTTTGGGGGGAACTTCCCCTTTTTTTTCCCTTTGAGCGGTTGCCGGAGCAGATCCATGTAATACAGTGTCATTGGAATGAGAGGGGTACACAAAAGTGGGGCCGGTGCTTCCCTACCAGGGAATTCCTTCTGGAGCCAAGAGAGATGAATAAGGTTGTCTGTGTGGGTGCTTGGACTGTACAGGTCAAACTTGGGCCTTTGCTGTGGGCCAGCGTTCACCTTAGTTGTAGTGGGGTCGTCTGCAGTACAGGACGCTGTAGGTCCAGGGAGGACAGAGTTGATGCACGACAGGGATAGAACAAGAAAGTCAGAAGTATTTGGTTGCTGAATTCACTTTTGCGTCACATCTGGAGTGGCCAAAGGTGTATACCAGGCATCCGCGAGGTATGAACCGTAGGCCAAATCTGGCCTGCTGCTTGTTTTTGTAAATAAAGTTTTATTGGAACACAGCCGAGCCCGTTCATTTACCTATGGCTGTTTTTGTGTTATAGTGGCAGAGTTGAGTAGTGGCAATAGAGACTTTATAGCTTGTAAAGCCTAGAATATTTACTCTCTGTCTGTCTGCGGAAAAAGTTTGCTGACCCTTGGTATGTATTATCTCATCCTTTAAGAAATATGTATTTTCAGGAGTGCCTGGGTGGCTTAGGCAGTTAGGCATCTGACTTGGGCTCAGGTCATGATCTCACAGCTCGTGGGTTCGAGCCCCGCATCGGGCTCTGTGCTGACAGCTCGGAGCCTGGAGCCTGCTTCCTATTCTGTGTCTCCCTCTCTCTCTCCACCCCCCTCAAAAATAAATAAACATTTTTTAAAAAGTTAAAAAGAGAAATATGTATTTTCAAAATTTATATGTGAGATATATACATTCATAAATTAACATCTCATACGTAAGTGCAAACAACATATATTCATAAATCAATGCAATTTTCCTGCGTGGCAGTGCAGAGTCAAAAAGATTAGCACATCGGCTATATCTCAATTAAACAAAAAAGATTGGAAAGCACTGCTACGGGTGACATTGAGTCCCCCGAAATATTCGATCAAGGCAATGACATAACCAGATCAGCAGGACAGCTCTAGTGTCAACTTGATTGCTTGTGCAGAAGCAGCAGGCACATTAATAAACCTGATCATGAGCGTTTTGCAATTCATAACCCGAAACCCCAATAACAACCAAATCCTAAAACTGGGTGGAAGAATGGCAGAAGGGACAGAGGGGAGGGGATGCATGCGTGTGACTCCAGTGTGGCCTTTCACCTGCAGATGACAGACTCCAGGTTTGGGGAACAGATTGTTTGGCTACAAGAAACCATCAATAATGATTTCCGTGATCATCTCATCTTGGCCCAGACTCCATTCCAACCAAGTTATTAATACACACATTATTCTTCTTAAAGAAATAGAGAAATGCATTCCAGATTGCCGAAGGAAGGAATTCCCCATGATTTATACTGAAATGTTCCTAGAACTTTTTTTCGCCCCAAACATCCATCTTCAAGAAATACTAAAGGCAAATATTTCATGAATCCAGAGGTGCTTCTGGTCAGCATCTGGAGATGATCTTGAGAATACAAATCTGTTATCATTTTTCACCATGGGCCTCAGCTGTCAGAACATGTAATACACATAACCAGCCAGAGGGCTGGAGGGAAGCAAAAAGTGTTCAGTTAACCACTGTAGCAGGAGGCAACAGAAATGAGGGTGTATTTGCCCATACTTCCCCCATATCCACATTTTGTGTCTCTGTTGTATCCCTTTTCCTAACAACTGTTTCCTAACAAAGGTCTAGGTAAAGACCTTGCAGTGGCGGATGCTTTTCAAGGGCATAATGTCTTATCACATGGTCACATGGAGGGACAAGGTGGTGCAGTAGAGGAAATGTAGGCTACGGAGCCATCAGATCTGAGTTTGAGTCTTGGTTTTGCCACGTGACCTTCAAGTTTCTTAACCTTGCTGAATCCTGTTTCCACGTCAGTAAAATGGGCTTGTCTATAAAGTGATGACGTAGGTGAAATTATTGGCACAGCTTTTGGCATAGCCTAAACAATTAGAGGTTGTAATTTTTATTTCAAAGCCACACTCACGTTCCCACTATCCATTCACCAGGTGGTTCAATGAACGAGACAGAAAATATCAATTATTGATGAGAATATGGAGCACTTGGAGTTCTTATACACTGCTAGCTGGAGTGCCAAATGAGTACAAGCTACTCTGCCAGTACCCTGCGAGCTGAACCTAATCAACGAGTTGGCAAGTCTACTCCTAGGTATGTGCCCAGAGTAAATGCTCTCAGATGTTCAGCAAAAACACCAACCGGAATGTTCAAAGCAGCACTATTTATAATAGCATCCAATTGGAAACTGCTCAAATGCCCATCGCTAGAATAGCCCAGAGCTCAGCAAAACTTTTCTGTGAAAGGCCAGGGCATCAATATTCGGACTCCGCAGGCCAAGAGGCAAAAATCACCTTATAATTATTTCATTTCTTTTTGGAGTGCCCCCAAAACAGTGCAAAGCAGTAGAGTGATGATAAGGTCTCTGTTGCAACTGCCTACCTGTATTGGTGGTGGGAAAGCAGCCCTAGCTTTTACGTAAAAGACTGAGCATGGTTTGTCCCAATAAAATGTTATCTATGGACAAAAATTTAAATTTCATGTGGTTTTTATGTGTCATGCAGTATTATTCTTTGTATTTATTATTTCTTTTCTCTTTTTTTGCATTTTTAGCACACTCATTTTTTAAAATTTTTTTTATTGAGGTGTGATTAGCATAGAAGGTTATATTACAGTTTATTCTCTGTACCTAAGTTTTTTTGTTATTTGTTCATTTGTTTTGGTCTTCAGATTCCACTATAAGTGAAATCATATGGTGTTTGTCTTTCTGTGTCTGACTTATCTCACTGAGCATAACGCCCTGTAGGTCCATCCATGTTGTCACACATGGTATGATCTCATTCTTTTTTATGGCTGAGTAATATTCCTGTGTGTGTGTGTGTGTGTGTGTGTGTGTGTGTGTGCGCGCGCACGTGTGTGTGCCCGTCCATGGGTGTGCGTGACACATCTTCTTTATCCATTCATCGATTATGGATACTTGGGTTGCTTCCATATCTTGGCTGTTGTAAATAATGCTACTGATTTTTTTTTTAAGCCTTCAAAAATGCACAAATCATTCTTACCGTGCAGGCTGTATAGAAATAGGAGGTGGGCCAAATTTGAATGTAGGTTGCCAACCTCTGGTACAGTGGATAAATAAATTATATAGTCACACAGTGGAATAGACAACGGGTAGACGCAACAGTATGGATGAATATCATGAACATAAGATCAAACGAAATAAACCAGTTGCAGAAAGTATAAGATTACATTTATATAAATTACAAAAGCAGGTGAAATGGACGTATGGTCGTGTAAGTCCGCATGGTGCTCACTCTGTGAGGGCTGGTGACAGAGAGTTGGAACAAAGGAGATTTGGGGGTGAATAGTAATGGCTGCTTCTTCATTGGGTTTGTTCAGTGTATAAAATTCCACTAGCCACACACTTCTGTTGCACTTTTCTGTATGTAGATTATACTTTAACACTGAAAAAGACCCAATAAGTGCTCTTTCTTTATTTCAGGCCTTCTTTACCTCATACCTAACCAATTTATAGATTTCTAGGTGTTCTCCTCCACTTTAGTTACCTTGCTTATTACTCCGGAGAATCTGAAACACCCATTTATCCTTTGGGATAGTGGAAAGAACAGCCGAGGTATAGACAAGAGCCCTGTATTTAGAAATGAAGAGCAGAATTTAACTCCACTGTGTACTTATTGTGCAACTAGGGGAAAAGCACTCAATCTTTTTGAATTTTATTTTGTCATCTGGTAAATGGGAAAATAATTCTTTTTCTGTGCATTTGGAGTAAAGACTATCCTTGATAATGAGGAACTGCTTTGTTTTAGCTCTATACTTCTGTACAAACTATCACTGCCTGTGGCGTTCATTAACCACCCACAATGATCAAGTTTAACCACATCCGTCTTCTTCCTTCTCTGCCTCCTAGTTTTCCTCTTGGGGAGACAGTATGCATAATGGTGAGGCACATAGACTCTCAGTTCAAACTGTGACTCCGTCACTTGTCTCACAGCTTCTCCGTGCCTCATTGGTAAATGAGCCTCGTTGGTAAAATATCTACTTCATACTGTTCCTCTAGAGGTTGTGGCAGTCAGCCTCCAAGACAGTCTAGTCTGGGTGTCCCCTGTCTCCTGTGTCCATGCCCTGGTGGAAGGCTCTTCTACACTATAGGAGGGTTGGGCTGTGTGGCCGTAACATATGGCATAAAGGAAGGCGTTGCACTTCTGAAATTGAATTATGAAAGACTATGGCTTTTATCTTCGGTGACCTCTCTGTCTTGGATCATTCACTTCAGGGGAAGCCTGCTGCCAGGTCACGTAGCCCCGTGGAGACGCCTGCATGGTGAGGAACTGAGGCCTGCCCAAAACCACAGGAATGATCTTGGATGTGGATCTTCCAGCCCCAGGTAAGTTTGGAAATGACTGCAACCCTGGTACTCAGCTTCTCTGCAACCTCCTGAAAGACCCTGAGTCGAAATGATCCAGCATGGAACTGGAGAGTGTGATGCTAAGTGAAATAAGCCATAGAGAGAAAGACAGATACCATATGGCTTCACTCTTATGTGGATCCTGAGAAACTTAACAGGAACCCATGGGGGAGGGGAAGGAAAAAAAAAAAAAAAAAGAGGTTAGAGTGGGAGAGAGC